CATTTCTAACAGCATTGTTTGCATACTTATTGAACACACCATTTGTAATAGCATTGTTTGCATACTTATTGAACACACCATGTCTAACAGCATTGTTGGCATACTTATTGAACACACCATTTCTAACAGCATTGTTTGCATACTTATTGAACACACCATTTGTAATAGCATTGTTTGCATACTTATTGAACACACCATTTCTAACAGCATTGTTTGCATACTTATTGAACACACCATTTCTAACAGCATTATTAGCATACTTATTGAACACACCATTTCTAACAGCATTGTTTGCATACTTATTGAACACACCATTTCTAACACCATTGTTTGCATACTTATTGAACTCACCTTGTAGCAACACTTTCTCTGATCTTTACCAGAATTGTCTTATCTCTAACTGGAATTTCAGTTAATGCAAGCCTTCAACAATTGATATAACCTAAATCATCACCTTTGATTACTAAGTTATTACAATGTAAACATTGATAATTTTGCTGATTTGTTGAATTTGTTGTTTATTTTGATCAGTTCTATTTATATATCAAAGTAAACACAAATTCAGTGTAGATGAAGTTCACTTTTAATGATGTAAAATCAAACTTTCGGAAAGTTTGCTTGAAATTCAGAATTCATGAACATTTCATGCTACATTCGTATATACGAGGGGTGATCAGGAATTCATGAACATTTCATGCTACATTTGTATATACGAGGGGTGATCAGGAATTCATGAACATTTCATGCTACATTTGTATATACGAGGGGTGATCAGGAATTTCTGGATCGTTTAACCTATTTTTGCCCTTTTATTCTTTCTTAGTGAATTGTTCAAACAATATAACACAAATATATAGGATCACACCATGAAGATTTCATTGTTCTATGACATCACTTGTACATATATACTTGTGTATATACAAACATATTTCTCTTCAGTTGAACTACCCTTTGCAAGTCTCTGTCTTCAATTTCACTCTATAGATTACAAAAGATTGTTTCATCTAACCCAATATATATCAAATCAAAATATATAGTCAGGAAATCATTATAATACATTATGCTTAAATATAGAGCATTTATTTCGTGGTCATACTTTAATTGAGATTGTGAAGATCTCATTAGTATTACAACTGTAAAATTATAATAGTCAGAGGGTAGGAGTGTAGCTTTCTGATGAGGAAATCAGGGTATGAAATGTTACCTTATTACAGGTAATGTTTTTAATGTAACATCAACATCAATATAATTCATAGATAGGAAACAGGTTGATTGAAAGTGGCATATTTTTGTTTATGAAGAGAGATGGAATGTTACCCTACCCTGTTCAAGATACTTTCTGGCCTACATCTTAACTCTTAATAAGAGAGATGATCTAATCATTGAGTTCATATTAGGATCAAAACTGTAAACGTGTCTGTCTTAATCAGAGGCTAGGAAAAATTACATGTTTTATTTGAGCATCAGGGTTGTGGAATGTTAAAGTAGAAATACCTGAGTGTAGTAACTTCTAGTGTTCTGTTACATTTTACTCTCTAGGCTTGTAGCTTTATGTTGACTCGTAGTACTAGTACATGTATGTGCATGGGACTCAATGATGGCTTCATTATTAAGAATGAATTAGGGAAGAGGATTTTCAGTGTTCATTTATTACAGTTCAGTCTCTATGTAGCTGGAGGAAGAGAATCTATATATGAAATCAGCATTTTTAACATCTTTATGTCCCCTACCCTCTTCTTTTTGTGCAACTGTCTTATAAGAATTCAAATAGAGAGATGAAGAAGCAATATAAGGCTTGGACATTGTGTAAGAGAAAGAAGATTGGGGGGGGGGGAGTATGGCAAATCTAAAACAGGTTTATTCAATACTTCAGTTGTGTCTCTTCCTATGAACAGTTACTTTATTCACATGGGTGTGGTCTATACCCATAGAGGCTATTAATGAAAAGCTGTAAGAATAACTGTGTCTATTGCTACTGTAGCATATTGCTATTCCTTAACTACATCATCAGGTATTTTAGCTCTAATTTCTCACTTGATTACATATGTTTTCTGCAGTATGATCATGTGTGAAATATGAAGGCACAACATTGTCATAGTAATTTGATACAGACTCGCGTCTCTGTACCCTGAGTCTAGTATTGGCTGGTATGCAGTTTTATCCTCTGACTGAGAGCTATCATTTTGCTTTGAACCAATCAGACAGCATATACTTCATTCCCTTCTACTCTCAAGGCTTGCTTTTATAATAATGCTATTTTTCTAAGAAAGATACGATGAGTATCAGAATGTATGAATCAAGATTTATACTCGATTTTAAAGGCTGCATTTTTGAGATGCACTTACCGTTTCCAAAGTGTAATCGTGATGTTACTCAGAGACCCAGAGGTTAGCAGGAACTAGTATAAGGATGAATCTTTTATTGAAGAACTGAAATCAGCCTCTTAAAGGGTATCATCATGCATGATGTATGCAACATTCAGTGTAAACAAATTACTGCTCAACATTGAATTCAATTACTCTAGCCTTAGGCACTGACAAATCACATTCGTTTAGTTCTCTGATCTTCTGATCAGCTCTCATTTAGTACGATTTAGGATATTTCTCCCAAACACATATTTTGCTGTTTATTGAAAAAGAAAAACTCCGGCCACCTCCTTTAAGGCTATCAAAGAAAGAAATTATTGACAAAGCTCTCTGGTTTTAACTTCAGAAATAGACTTTGGGAACTGCCTTCAGTAAATGTATCTAATTAGGCCCAAAATTGTAAATCTGTTCAGATTTTGTTGTTCTGTACCAGCCTGAGTTAATTTGTTTCAAAAATGATTCCTCTAAACAGGTAATTCACCTTTAGGGGCCTCGCTGCTATTTCTATTCTATAATCCGTTATTACTCTTATTGCTAAAATTGACATGAACAGGGAGAATGTTTCTTATTTTTTAATGCAGACAATTTTATTCTCTTTAATCAAAGCCTGATTGGCTTGCTTTGAATTGGTAGAAAAAGATTTAATTTGGATGGATTTGAAAAGATCCTCCTTAGTTGGTTCCTGTCTTTTAACATTATAATGAGAGAGTAAATACATTTTATAAAATACTTCACTTTTCATAAAAGGGATTCATCTTTACTCTTTCATGAAGAATTAATTCTTTGATGTGGCTTTTCCAATCAGAAGCCTCAAAATATACTACCACATAAATTGTGACTTTGCAGATTTCATCATCATATAGAAACAACACAATGCAACAGTAAAACCTGTCTAATCTGAAGGCTACAGTAAAACCTGTCTAATCTGAATGCTACAGTAAAACCTGTCTAATCTGAATGCTACAGTGAAACCTGTCTAATCTGAATGCTACAGTAAAACCTGTCTAATCTGAATGCTACAGTAAAACCTGTCTAATCTGAATGCTACAGTAAAACCTGTCTAATCTGAATGCTACAGTAAACCCTGTCTAATCTTAATGCTGCAGTAAAACCTGTCTAATCTGAATGCTACAGTAAAACCTGTCTACAGTAAAACCTGTCTAATCTGAATGCTACAGTAAAACCTGTCTAATCTGAATGCTACAGTAAAACCTGTCTAATCTAAATGCTGCAGTAAAACCTGTCTAATCTGAATGCTACAGTAATACCTGTCTAATCTGAATGCTACAGTAAACCCTGTCTAATCTTAATGCTACAGTAAAACCTGTCTAATCTGAATGCTATAGAAAAACCTGTCTAATCTGAATGTAACAGTAAAACCTGCTTAATCTGAATGCTACAATAAAACCTGTCTAATCTGAATGCTACTGTAAAACCAGTCTAATCTGAATGCTACAGTAAAACCTGTCTAATCTGAACACCACTTTAACTTGCTGGTGTTAACATTTCAAATTTTCTTAATATTTGTTTGGATTAATATGTGAGTCAACGGGACTTAACGAAATTTGGATCAACAAAAAGTGTTCAGATTGAGAGGTGTTTGGATGTACAGGTTTTACTATTTTTATTTTAAGGCATCTATTTTCTCTACTTGATGAAATATTTCTTACCAGATCTGATTGGGAAACATCCCATTGATGATATTTTGGATTACCAAAACAGGAAACCTTCCACCTACTAAACATAAAACTAGTTTCTTTGCCCTAAATTAGGTTTATGATATCATGTAGATAGCTTGATATATTGGGAAATGTGTTATATGGGAAAAGTTAGCATCTGTTCAAGTACAGAACATAAGTTAGTTATAATGAGGGATTAATCCCTTATCTAACTTATGTTGTATTTCTTTTATAGCTCATATGGTCATCAAGCCATTTTAAGAATTATTCTCAATACTCTATCATACACACTCTGTTAACAAGAGAATCTTATGGTGCATTGAAATTGGAATCTCCAGATGCATTGATACTAGAACTAGTGCATTATATATTTGAATATTATGGTGCATTTATGGAATATTCTCTTTGTACATTGAAGATGTGCCTATGCCATGTAACTGTCTATTCTTTCAATAACCTTGTTACCATGGCAACAAACAAGATTGTTCAATAAATTGTTATTAATTCAATTTTTATATATCAGATTGTGATCTCTCCCTGGAGTCAGTGTGTCACAGTTAATTTTACATAAAGTAGGTGATGTTAGTCATCAGAGAAGATTCTATTAACTCTCTTATTTTGTTGGACAGATCAGCCATTACCAGTATATTGCAATTTAATAAATTTTTATTCTTGCTTCTAAACTGTGGACCCCCCCCCCACACCCCTACTTCACCAACACATGACAGTCCTTGTTGGGAGATGTGTAATGGGATGGAGGGGGGGGGGTTCGTAAGAGCTTGAAGCTTGTAGCGAGACTAACAAAACTTGTGAAATTACTGAATGCCATTTTTACATCAAGCCCCATTATAACCTTCCATTGTAATAGAATATATTTATGCAAAAATTAATGTTTAAAAATATATATAATGTAGCTGTTATTTTATGTTGTTTAACATATTTATTTTATGTATTTCCAGGGACTGCTTTTGCACTATGTAACAGCTATATATTAGGATTAATATTACTACTGTGAGCAGCATATAAGGATTAACACCAAGATTAAGATCACCAATAGATTACCATAATATTGGATTAAATACAAGTTCGTATATCCTGTTTCTGGAAAACCAAAGTGAACATATAAACACCATTGGAGATTTCAGCCTGGATACATAGGAATATTAGTATCACAATATACACAGGAATAATACATCGTCTAGAATATGAAGCTAGATTCATATAAGATACATACATCAACATAACGTAGATACCTAGATGGATAAATGAATCGTGAATTGAGCATTTTATGCCCCTATTAGGAGAACTACAATATGTCAGCTGATCAGGCTGGACGCACGCCTAAAGGGAAGATGATGGGTGTCAAGGTCTATATGTTGGATGATCAGGTGCAGACATTCAATGTGCCTGTAAGTATTTTTGAATAATTATCTTCACGTGTACTGCCCTTATAATGGGGGAGGGGCCGACCTTCAATGTTCATATAAGGATATGAATAATAGTCTTTGTGTCCACACATGCTCCAGTCTTGTTTAGGGGGAGGGGCGGGACTTCAATGTGCCTATAAGGATATGAATAATAGTCTTTGTGTCCACACATGCTCCAGTCTTGTTTAGGGGGAGGGGCGGGACTTCAATGTGCCTATAAGGATATGATTAATACTCTTTGTGTCCACACATGCTCCAATCTTGTTTAGGGGGGAGGGGCGGGACTTCAATGTTCCCGTAAGTATGGAATCATATTGCTTCATAGCAAAGCATCAGTTTTCAATTTTTGCCTTGTTTTTTTGGGATATGGGTAGACCTTCAGTGTGTTTAGTCTATTGAAATCTTTAGGTTTATATCATATCATTGCATTCTACCCCCCCCCCCTCCTCTTTCTTTGTATATGTGAAACAGTTACACAGAGATATTTTGACCAAAACAGGAAATATGAGGATTTAGGAGAAATGGATCTTTTGGGGAATATTGCACAGCATTCTCCCAATCATTATTCCCTGTGAGGTAGAGTTAATTTATTTAGAGGGATTAAATAAAGGTTTTATTCTGAGGGAAAATATGATAGTTATCCCATGTGATATAATTCAGAGCACTGTCTACATGCCTTGTCACTTTATTACCTTCCACTGATTACACTAAATCTTCGCTCAATTTCATTTTAGAATATAACCAAACATGACAAGTGCATCATGGGAAATCTGCAAATGGAAATCTCTGATCGTGTTCGGAGAATTAAACTAATTGTTGTATTGTGGGAATTAAAGTTATGATTATATTCGTAGAATTCTGCTAGGAACCCGCACAAGGTCATGTCGACATTGATGAGTGTAGATTTATGGAATAAATACAAGTTGGAATAGATTTATAAAACATTGAAATAAGGCTAAGATAGATTAAAGGGGTGGTTAACATCCTTGCTCATTTTATATGAATAAAAACATGTATTGATCGATGACAAAATAAAGTGGTTATATTTCATGTCACGACCACATTTGATCAAAATTGGGATTTCATATAATACATCATCACAAGAGCTTAATATGTGCACAGAATAAGTGACGATAAGGTCCCATGAAATCAGAACGAAGTGATTAAAGAGTTAAAGCGACAGTTATGTCTGCCATTTGTGACAACAGTATGTGACTTTACCATTGTCAGGGTATTCCAGTGTGAGACCATAACTAGATAGCATAATAGAATGAATCATTTATATAAGCCAGGATTATAAGATGAGATGATAGCTACAACCATATAATTAGGCGGATGAAGCTGTCTTTTAAAAAGTGAACAAGCAGGCCTGTTGCCAGGGGGGGGGGGGTTCAATCGGAACCCCCCCCCCCGCCGGCCAAAAATTCTTTTAAAATCATGCAGTCCTGGGAAGTACATTTATGGCCATTTTTGGACCAAAATTTTCAAAAGTGAACCCCCCCCTGGAATTTTTCAAAAAGTGAACCTACCCCTTGGCAAATCCTGCCTACGGGCCTGACAAGCTACATTTATTTTAGAAAGTAAGCCTTGCTTAGCCTGAAGTAACCATTTAAACTTGGAATGTTGGCCTTTGAACTTGATAAAAATTTGTATTTACTTCATATCTTTAGTTGGTGTGTAATATCAAAACCTATCAAAGGTACAATTCTAAATAAACACTGAAAACCAGTAAGACTAAGAATCCATTGAGAAAATAGAAGTGGTCGTGTTTTGATATGCAATATTGAGTGGAAACGTGTGGAATCAGGAAGGAATAACATAGACAGCCATGTAGTCAACACTCTAGATTATATAGAAATGACAGAAAATGAGGTGGTTCATGTAAATACAAGAGATTAAGTAAGGATTGAGATAAACCAACATTTTGGTCAGGGTACCTTGATCAAAGAACTTGGTTAAACTGTAAGATGTTATGGCTTGAAATAAGCTGCACACTGAAATAAGCTCCTAGGCATCCCATTTAATACATGCATTTGAAAATAATATTGAAGTACTTAACATCAAAATAAGGTCATCTTAGGTAAAATGAAAATTTTGCACCCTTGTTGAAAATTATTGCACTTGTTAAAAGAATTACAGGGCAAAATTTATGTACCTTTACCATAGTTACATTTTAGGGATATCCCCTTATTATAAGTATGCACTGCACCAACTTGAGTGTACCAACCTGAGTGCACCAAATTGAGTCCACCAACTTCAGGGTTTGACAAAAGGCTCGCACCAACCTTAGTATGGTAAATGGTGAAAATGGAGCAATTTTGGTTTAGAATTAGGAAATGAGAATTTTGCACCCACTTTCCAAAATCCTTAAAAGTACATTGAACAGTAATGAAGTCATGCCATCAGTTAACAATAAACAGTCAAGAAAGTAATTTATAATCAAGGAATTTGATAATTCTAATATATTGCTGTAAGATAGCCCATCCTTTGCATATTAAATACTTCTGCCTGATCACTTCAATTCCATGCTTTTTCTCTCTAAAATATGAATGAATTGCCTGATTTTCTTGCATTTCCTTACAATTTAGAGTGTTGACTTCATGCCTCTAAACTTATCTTTTTGCCGACTTGGCTCTTTTCATTTCTGTTTTGTATTTTAAAACTCAGACCACCGTGACATTTCTGTTGCAGGATGAGATATTTTGTTTAGGTAGTTGATAGTAACCTATCTCCAAACTATCCTACTTGATAAAGTCTCTATAAATATGCCAACATTTTACCACAACTAGCTTCCCACTTGATAAAATGGTGGTCTAACATTGTTGATTCCACAGCCTGTACTGTACCACCCCTTGGAATACACGCTATCAAGCATTAGATAAACAGGATAAATTAGAATGGTACTCTAAGAGTAAGGGGGACTTGACTTAATGTATGAAGTAAAAGTACAGTTGATAAAATGGTGGTCTAACATTGTTAGATCCACAGCCTGTACTGTACCACCCCTTGGAATACATCCTCTCAAGTCAAACAACAAGTGACCACCCTGCTATGGCATGATGGTTACACCACCTACGTTCATGTAACCATCATGCTATAATCCCGTGGTGACTAGGACTGGCAAAGTATGTCCAGATTATAGCAGGTGTTCACATTTCAATTTTTTAGATATACGAGCCAATAGAATAGAAGATATAAAATTTGGGACCAAGAAAAAGTGTTGTATGCTTGTGTATACAGTAGAGCTTGTCTTTCTGTTTAAGTACAGACTAAGGTACATAGTCCTGCATATGAGCCAGAAAATTCATTTGCATTTTGTCAGGCCTATAACTGAGCTCACATCTGAGTACTTTGTGAGTCTTCTACATATAGGACTTGTAAACATGTGTTTGTAGAGATGCTTTCCTGAATTTGCCTACTTGAGATTTTGAAAAATACCAAACTCAGGATACTTAGCAAGGTTCAGCCTATGTATCAAGACACTGACCATTATGATATCATTCCATGGCATTGACTGATGGCCTGAGTAGGGAATTATTCTAGTATGGTCTAGTTAAGACATGAATAAATGTATGAAGTGTGTTTTATAACCTCGACATTTCAGCTTTCATGGAAAATAATATCTTTAGCACTTTAGGGCTGGGATGATTCAGTTATATGACTTGACAAAGAGTCTTCCCAGGGATTTTAAAGGAATTCTGGGGGACACAAGTGACAAAATATTGCTTCTGGGACGAGATCAAACGACTTTGACAATCTTTACCCTACCTATTTTGCTAGCAAGTAGATTAGACACATTCTATTTTTTGATTGATAAAATCATTGATTATAAAACTGAAAGTGTGTTCTGTGACGTCCGTATGTGAATATTTAAATTATTCAGATTTCGCCATGGATTCGATTAGTAATAATCCTTAATTCGGGAGTTAAATGCTTCTTAATGATCTCCTAATGCTGATTTCTTTAAGTAATGTTTTGACTTCCCCGCTTTATACAAAGAACATTATCACCATTTACTCTGCTCAAAAATTCACTTTTCGTCTATCGTAATAAAGATGAGCTGAAAGTTGTTATAATCCCCAGTCTTAATATGGCTTTTCAAGGTTCAATAAGCGACTTTGAATGGACCTTCATGCATAGTTCGAATATAAAATCATCAGAGAAGGTTTTAAATTGACTCTAAAGCCTGGAAAAAAAATTTGAACCAATTATAGGCTGTATATTATTACTATGTCCCTTTACACTGGTGATCCACTCGATTAGCTGGTTACCAAAACGAACCATTTTTTTTTTTACGATTTTTCTTTTTTCCTTATTTCACATGTAATAAGCAGAATTCCCACGACATTTTTAACATAAACATGTATCAGTATCATATGTTTAAGAAAATGTACATATTTGCGAACAAATAGTTCAGAAGACGACAGAATCGTTGATTTAATTCCTCACTTAAGTTACATAAATGGTTTTTCGAAAAACAGTTAAGAACTGCACTTTTAACCAAAACAGTTTATGTATTTTAAGTGAGGAATTAAATCGACGATTCTGTCGTCTTCTGATCTATTTTTTGCAATCATGTACATTTTCTAAAACATAGGATACTGATATACGTTTGTGAGAAAAAACGTTGTGGGGATTCTGCTTACAACGCGTGAAATAAGGAAAAAAGAAAAATCGTACCTTCGACGTTCCGACATTTTGTTACCAAAACTAAACGAACACTAGAAATGTTGAAAACCATATATTTTATTGACTTTACTACTTATATGTATCTACTTGTCATGTACTGGGCTGGTATTGATCAAATTCTTAAAATGTGATACACTATGGGTCCAAAGGCAATCTGGTAAAATCATTTTCTTGGTAATAAAGCCACTTTCAGTGTAGGACTAATTTGCCACATAAGCTGTTCTATAAGCTTACATAACTACGATCAGAGTCTGCTATTATTCACTTGCCAAATCTCATATTTTCTCATCACAGCCCTTGTGTTATTCCAAATATCCCAAATAGGAACAAATAGTTGCTTAGGTTACGAGCAAAGTAGGAGATTGCCACATTCTATGAGTTTCCATTATAGAAGAGAATGCAATTCTGATTTTAGGAGATTGCCACCTTCTATGAGTTTCTATCATACAAGATTGGGGTACCAGAGAATGCCTTCTTGTTTATCAGTCATATTGTTATAGTCTCCAACCTTTTGGTGGATTATGTTCAGCAGTTGGTTTATATTAGTTGGTGTGTGGCAGTCAGCATTCAGTATCTGTAACAAATGGCAGGTTGTGACATTCTGCATGTAATGTCTTGTCTAAAGCTTGTGAGAGTTCTGTAGATCCCACAATGCAAAGAATTTGGTAGTATTTAGTAGTAGGTTGGGTATTATGCTTTTTACCTATTTTCAAGAGCATGCTGTATTCAAAAAGAGAAAGTGAATATTAGTAAACTCTGTGCTCATAAAGTTCTAACCATGTCATCCTAGCAAGATATATAGTACGCTGTAGTTGATTAAACTAGTACTCTGTAGGTCAAATAGACCTCATTGCAGAGTGGATACTAAATGTGTAATCAGAATAAAGTACTAGCTCTCTTTGTTTGTACATTAAGTGCTGCCATCTTATTGTGGAAATAGAACTATAAGTACCATTTTGTTTTGTTATAATATAGGTTTGTTGTGGATGGTTTCCATGTTTGCTTTGGCTATCATATACTGATGTTTTGGATCAGTTCTATCTGTTTATATCATTTATAGGGATTGTTTTGTAATTTGGATTTTCCTTCATCTTATTTTTCTCATTTGATGTTTAGTTTGATTGCTTATAGATAAAAATATTTTGTACTTTAACTTGCTTCTATTTAATTCATACATCAGTTGTTTTTTAGCGTCCAACTCAAAAATATCCACTCATTTTACATGGAATTATTTCAATAATTGTAAAATTCAATGTTAGGAATTCTGGGATTAAGACACCTTGTGTGTGTTACTTTGTTCATGAATGGATCAAGTAATCCATATTTTGTAAATATTGCATTATGCTTTCATAAGAGAGTTACCAAATAATCCATAAGAGTATTGCATTCACTTATTTGTCTTATTAGTGTTTATTGGTGTATTTCTAAAACTTACTGTTATTTTATATTCTTGTTTAGATTGAATCTACCTGGTCACTCTATCTTATGTTTTCTCACTTATTTTGACAATTATTAATATGAATATGGTATAAATGGAGAGTTAAGAAAAGATGACTGTTGTTCCTTAAACCATGTGAATGGTTTAACATTAGGTCACATGGTATTGCATCAGGAAATTGGTTTATAAACGTCTTTTTGAGTTCTGTTGAGAGGTTGGCTTAGTAAAGTAGATACTTCGTAGTCTAATGGTATGATTATTCTCTAGGGTAGAATAGGTTGTGGGTTCGATTCCCACCGATAATTTCTACTTACGCGATCCAGCCTTTTTATCCTGATTTACCTGTATAAAGTGATCTTTGGTATTTTTCTCTCTTTCTCCAGAAATTTTTTATTTTTAGATGTTTATTTATGTATGTATGTTGGTCGTCAGACAAGGTTCAAATCTCAGATGGGGCATATTAGATTCTTTTTTTTTCAATTTCAAGTAGAATGATCCGTGGTAGATGAAAATTATAATAAACTGATTTTTTGAATGGTAAATATGACGACAGAAAATGAGGAAATTGCAGATCACATGATCGGGATGAGTATTGCAACATAAAGTTCATTCCAACAAAGTAGATTTTCTTCGTAGAATAGTCTTCTAGGTTGGCCCTAGTAAAGTGGATCCATCGTAGTCTAATGGTATGATTATTCTTGCGGGAAGAATAGATGTTGGTTCGATTCCATCCAATACTTTCTACTTTCGCAATCCAGCCTTTTTATTCTCAATGATTTACACATTGAGTCGGTATCTGTCTTTTTCTCTCAATCTCCCGAATTTCGTATTTTTAGACACTTATGTTTGACAGACAATGTTCAAATCTCAGAGAGGGTATTTTAAATTCATGTATATTTGTTTTTGTTTTTTAAAATATCAGTCACTTTGTAGAATGCTCATTTTGCTTTTTATCAAATTTCCTATATTATAAGTATTTTTCTTATCATTTGTATTTATTGAAAAGTTCATCTTCATAAGTAGGTTTATAAACAATCTGATTGCATTAAACATGTTAAAGATAATAATGGAGTATGATGAAATTTTTGACCACATGATTGCAACAAATGTTACATCAGAAAGTTGATTCTAACAAATAGTACATTTTCTAAATAGAATTCTAGGTTGGCTAAGCATTATGGATACTTCATAATCTAATGGTAAGATATTTCTCCAGCACAGAAAAGAATTGTGGGTTTGAGTCCCACCGATAACACCCACTCGCGCAATTCAGGCTTTTTGTCAAGAATCATCCGTTTGGAATGATTTTTTTAAATATCTGGCCATTCTCTTAAATTTCTGCATTTTCATCAAATTATTTATTTATCAACTCAGCCTGGGTTCAAATCTTGGACGGCACATTATTAATATTTTTTATATATGTTTTTTTAATTGAACTCAGACTGTGCTTGACTCACAAAATGTCAAATTCAAATACGTATATATTTGACACAATATTTAATTGATGTGATACCGCCTATAAAGTCTGAATTTACAAAGGGGAGGTAGATCTTGATATTCAAAGATTCGATTCAAATAATACATGTTTTTTTATATATATTTCCAGCAAAAATGTCAGGGTGTTATTCTATACAATGAAGTGTCCCAAAGATTACAACTTCAAATAATACATGTTGTTTTATATACATATTTCCAGCAAAAATGTCAGGGTGTTATTCTATACAATGAAGTGTCCCACAGATTGCAACTTCTTGAGGCGGACTACTTTGACTTAGAATACCTGGATGAGAAAGGAATATGTGTAAGTACTGCACTTGAAGGATTAAGGGGGAGGGGGGAGAGCAGTTATACAGAATTACCATGGTGATGGAAATGTCAGCTGACCTTGAATGTCGGGTAATTTTAGAATTTCATGAAAAATCACAACGAATAAAAAGATAGGGAAGGTTTTTTGATTTTAATTTTATTTGACAATATTGTATTCTGGTAACTCGGTATAATATAAAAGACAATTCTGGGTGAAGAAATTAATATTTCCAAATATGATCAAGAAGTATCTGTTACTACCAGCTACTATCAGCATAAGTAATTTTTTATTATTTTATATGTCTTTGAATCTTATTTTCTACAATGTAATAATGACAATATCGTAAAATTCTGTAGAATGCTGATTGCTATAATTGACAATCTTTTTGATAAATGTCATGACCGCCTTATCTTATCAAAATGTGTCTCTCTTTTAGTGTTGGCTGGACCATGAAAAACCACTTTTAAAACAAGTCTCTGCAAAAGACCCAAGGTTTAGATTTGCTGTCAAATTTTACACTCCAGACCCTGGCCTTCTGGAAGAGGAGTACACTAGGTAACCAATGTTACAATTCTTTTAAATTTGGAGCTTGTCATTTTTATTGATATTTATAGGGTGGGCCAATAACAATTGGAACATTTTTCAATTGATAATCACTTATTCATTAGTACAGCTACATCTACCAAAATTTACATAAAGAAACATTGTTTATTTCTTGAATTAAAAAATAAAAAATATGGTTGAAAATTTATTTGTGGCTTGTTACCAGCCTAAAATATACATCGGGTGTGTCATGAAAAATCTCCAAATATTCACTCCTTTGCATATGTAAAATTGTCTGCAAAATTACTTTAAACACTTAAAGGGTGACGCATATCGTTTAGCAAATCGAACGCTCGTTTCTGGTGTTGCTCACCGTTTAGTATAAAAGGCCCGATCCCGGAATAACACTCATGGGTTCACAGGTTCGATGTCGTTGTGTCAACACCTCTAACTGTTATATAGCATAAGTATATTATATATTGTCACACATTTATAAAAGGGTGATTTTTATTTTGACAAATCAATTCCATACTTTTTGGGTGAAGTTTCAGGATCTTCTATTTGTGTATAATAAGGAAAAATTTCCCCATAACGTAATAGCACACAGCTTGGCATATGAAATATCCTACAAATGAAACAAAGCAAGACAAACCGGTTTCTAATACAAAGATTTATATTGGCTGTTGTACATGTATTCTTTGAACGCAATCACTCTTTGGATAACGTTTTCAAAATCATTATAAACGGATTACTTTATCTCAAAGACAATTTCAATAAACTGGATTTTACAGAACTCCCCTTATTTCTTAAAAATGGACTGATCCAGTTGATTCGCCTGGAGCCGCCATATTGTTTTTATACGGGATGCTAATCGGAACCCTTTAAATGAAATTCTATGATGACAAAACCTACTGAACATGATAAAATAGTTATAAAAATATAAAATGGACATGGATATGGAGCCAGAAAGATACTAAAACTGTATCCAGAGAAGAAATGATCCTTGTCAATGAACGTAGGGTGAGATTTACTGAACACTTCAAAATCCGATCTCTAATGTAGTTGGAGCATAAGGGTTGTAGGGCCAATGTTCCAATTTTTATAACCCGGAGTAAGAAAATCAAAATTTGATTCCTCTGGGACTCCAGAGTGGTATCAAATGACATTAGAGTTTTTTACCAGGGCGCAAGGTCATAAAGGACACTCACAGCCACCAGTTTATAAAAATTATGTCTCCGAAATCTCTTGATAGTGATTCCGCACCTGGCCAGAGACCAGATGTGCCAGTGACGGCAGAGACCCTTTTATTGAGTGATGTAGGACTTTGGTATTTATCCAGCAATTCCAACTTGTAAAGCATGGCTGACATATTTTACATGTCATTTTAGTTTTCTAGCTTTATAATGTATCACAAGCAGAATACTTTGGATTAGAATACATTATTCAATTCCACATATATTTACAAGGATTTTGATACAATGTATTCTAGGTTCTGATTTTAATTAGTATTTTTTTATTGTCATTGATTAAAATGCATGGACCAAATAGAAAAAACATCTAATTTTATTGATTGATCTGATTTATTTTTATTCAGCACTGTAGAACAGTGCCTATCTGTTTCACATGATTATATGCACCTATAGATTTGAATTGTAAATCCAAAGGTTTAGATTTAAATACTTAAATATTTAAATATTTAGAAATATTGGAATATTTTTGAATATTTTAATGGGTAAATGATTGATAAATAATTGTTAATTAATGGATGTTTTGTAGGTATTTATTTGCCCTCCAAGTAAAGCGTGATTTGGCATCAGGGGATATTCCATGTTCAGAGAACACTGCAGCATTACTGGCATCTTATATTGTACAAGGTGGGTTTAGAATTTAAATAAATACTTGCACATTCATTGTTGTTATTGGTCTGATTCACACCCTGTTTACTCACAGTCTGATATATGAAATTTTGAATTTTTGGCTAAAGATATGTTTTGCAATGCAAGGCTTTATTACCCACACAATTGAAACTGAAATTATCAGTCGTTTGTGATATCTGTTTGCTCCCTGGCTCGATTCAGACTATACACTATATCCATCCATTCCACTGTCCCCAATGTAAGATTTAAACAAACACCGGATTCAGTACATTATAAGCAAACTATTTCGCTTTTACTCTTTAGAGCATTATGCAAACTAAATGTACGATCGTATAACAGAGATGAATTGAGCAAAATAATTTGATTTTAGTCTTTAAAGTTATTGAATAATTTTTGGTGTGAATGTATCTGAATGCATTTCTGCTATAGGTAGCAAATGCCTATTTTTATTATTTGTTTTGTAGTAAAAACAAAAATATAAACTTTCATATATTTTCAGCTGAGCTCGGAGACTTCCTAGAGGAAGAGTATGTGGACCATACATATTTATCTAATTTTAAATTCTTCAAAAACCAGTCTGAGGACCTGGAGCTGAAAATAATGGAATATCATCAGGGTCACATGTAAGTACAATTAGTACATACAGCGTTACCATCCTCCGATCACAGGGCTTCAAAATCCAGAATATATTTTTTCTTTTTACCCCCTGAGATAAGCATTTCCCCAATTAAGAACTCGCGATCTGATTGGCTGTCGCAACACTGCAACAGAAATCATGTATAAGTCATTGCGCATAATTAGATCACATGATTCAGTTTAATCGGGCGCTTCCAAATTGGTTATAGCAGGGGGAAGGAGGTGGATTTTGGATACCTGCTTAGGAGTATGCCATTCGGGGTGACACAAAAATAGGGGTTGGATTTTTGCATCACCCTATATATGTTAAAGATGGCACAGTTATTAGAGATTTGATCATTCTGTGCTCCTAGAGTATCTGTATGTATTCTGTTTTGTGGTACATTCGGAGTTGCTAAGTTGCTTTGATTAACCAAGTTTGACTGTCAATACAGGCTATTTTATAAAAAGCTGAATAGGTCATCTTCACTGTATAGTACTTTGTCTTCTTCAATGACAACTCTGTATTTGTGCCAGAACTTAACCAGAATCATTCCATTCAAAAGTCAAATGTTCAAAACTGAATCGTTCTGAAATTTCTGTTCTTTTGCGATTTTAAATTCTTATTCTGCGTACCATTTAGTTTAAATTTCCACGACACATATATGACTCTTAATCATGTCAAAAAAAGCTGACATGGGCCACATTATGTGTGTCTGCACTGTATATTAGACATCCAGGTATCCAGACATCAGTCATATATATTTCCACACAAAAGGTTCAAAATATCAATAATGGCAATATTACCATGCATTTGTCTCAACCATGTGTTATATTTCTTGCAGAGGTCAGAGTCCAGCAGAGGCAGACTTCAACCTGTTAGATACTGCTAGGAAAGTTGAACTTTACGGCATAAGGATGCACGAAGCAAAGGTATAAATACTGGCATGTGGGTGATGTTGTCAAGTGAATAGGGTTGAAATAGTATTAGATACTGCTAGGAAAGTTGAACTTTACGGCATAAGGATGCACAAAGCAAAGGTAAAAATACTGGCATGTGGGTAATGTTGTCAAGTGAATAGGGTTGAAATAGTATTAGATACTGCTAGGAAAGTTGAACTTTACGGCATAAGGATGCACGAAGCAAAGGTATAAATACTGGCATGTGGGTGATGTTGTCAAGTGAATAGGGTTGAAATAGTATTAGATACTGCTAGGAAAGTTGAACTTTACGGCATAAGGATGCACAAAGCAAAGGTAAAAATACTGGCATGTGGGTAATGTTGTCAAGTGAATAGGGTTGAAATAGTATTAGATACTGATAGGAAAGTTGAACTTTACGGCATAAGGATGCACAAAGCAAAGGTAAAAATACTGGCATGTGGGTAATGTTGTCAAGTGAATAGGGTTGAAACAGTATTAGATACTGCCAGGAAAGTTGAACTTTACGGCATAAGGATGCACGAAGCAAAGGTAAAAATACTGGTATGTGGGTAATGTTGTCAAGTGAATAGGGTTGAAATAGTACCATAAGTTTGAAATGAAAAAATCCGGAAAATAAAGTTATAATTGTTACCAATCAGCACAAGGGGCACACTATCGATTGCTGTAGTGTTATTTTGAGACTGGTAAATCTTTTGACTTCAGGATTTTACCCCAGATTTTATTTGGTCACATTCATTGATTTGCTGAGTATATTTCATCACTGGCATGTAGCGGCCCTGATATCGATAAATTCTACACGCAATATAACCCGATTTTAGATGCTTGGTTAAAACTTTACACGAAAAAGCCTCGATATCCGGGCATTTACTCTTACACTGAACTGAAAATAGCATTGTCTAAACGTGTATGTCTTGGCTTCCGGGTAAGTTTATCAACATTTATACTCAATTGAAAGAGCAGTCGTGCTTATATTGTGTACCAGTTTGATTGTTTTATATGTGTGTGTATTTATAATATGATAGTCTAGTAATACCGTGTCGTTAGAACAAGTGCTAGATATCGAACTGATGACCTGAAATTAGATTATTGGACTGATCGCGCATCTGATATTAGATGATTAATTTGCATTGAATCTGATATTAACTTGCAACCCAATACTACAGTAAATACCTTGACTTTACATTAGAATGATAACACGGCCTCATATTCTAATTCATTATACGTCCATTGCAGGCCAAAAATGTTTCAATGGGGATATTGTAATGCACACGAGAATACATTCGATTCGTATATATTGACACCCCAGTTGTCCGAAACCCAGTTGTCCGAAACCCAGTTGTCCGAAACCCAATTCCCCGAAACCCAGTTGTCCGAAACCCATTACTCCGAAAAATAAAGTCATAATTTACCAGAGAAAGGGGGGGGCGTAGCTTACTTAAGCTTACGTCAGTTTCATGCCATGTATTTGGCCAAATTAATGGCATGGACGCATTCTGATATTCATAGATCTCTCTCTCTCACTTTGAATTGCATCCATTGTATGGCGTTACCAGAATGGCAGGAACGGGAGATTTATTTTACATTGTGATTCTAAAAAAGGTTATTAAAACACAATATATATTACGGAACAGTTTATCTTATCTTCTTCGATCTCTTTTATATAGGCAAAATAAAATGAAACATTTTGAAACAGATAAAATAAGGTATCGCATAGAACTTTAAGAACAAAACAGTATACAAATTACGTTGTCAAAATATTTCGTCGCATTTAATTTCTTAGTCTCAGTCTCTTATCAAATCGTAAAAGAATAAAACATTCTAAACTTAATCACTTGGGATTTATGTTTCGGCATTCGTTTCAGGCATTTGTTTTTTATGTTCTTCTCCTGAAATGTATTTGTTTGACAATAATCAGAGAAAGTGCGTATACGTATAAATATGCCACGCAAACAAACGGGTGTGACTTCAATTTCTTGTCTGTCTGAGGACGTATTGGGAACGAGGTAGAATTAAAGAATTCTTATGAACAAATGTATTGGCTAAGTTAATTTCTGATGGATCTGGATAAAATATATTTCAAAACTTTGTCAACACTAGATAACTTCATTTAGGCAGATATAGTATCTTGATATATTTGGCTATCATGCGTTTAAAATACGTTCCTAAAACTATGAAGACGTTGGGTGAGAAATATTGCTATTGTACGTTCGAAAAGTGTTTGGTTGTATTTTGTAGTTCTCAAGTTACCCATGAACTTTCGTGGGCTAATTAACGTCTTGACTTAGCATATTTAGCCTAATTTTGCAATGATGTCAACGTGATTCAAATGTTATGCTGTCGTGATTCGCAGAGGTTGCGACAAGATTCGTTTTAAGAAATTGTATTTTTTGATAAGATCCCCTAATTTTCGGAGAACTTGGTTTCAGACAACTGGGTTTCGGAGAATTGAGTTTCGGACAACTGGGTTTCGGACAACTGGATTGACCCCTATGAGGGTTGATCATACATCAATTGAACATGGAGATTTTCCTGTACACTTTTCCCAAACATGTGGAATAGACTAGATGCGAGTAGAAATTATCTTGATTTATCCTATGCCAAGTAGGGTTTTAGGGAGATAAGTTGGTAAGATATATCCCGTATCCTGATTTTGAGGTTTCCATATCAAGAACCTCCACATCTCCCGTCATATCTCCCGCTTCGGTGCATATCTTCCCGCTTCGGGGCGTATCTTCCCGCTTCCAAAAAGTGGAAATGCAATAAAATGACTTTGCATATGAATGATTTGTTTATTTTTTACACCTTGTACTACTGAAAACTCTACTTGGTATAGGATAAAGCAGTTATGTACGGTCGGTTTGGATATTGGGTTCATCCCTCGTGAGATATGCACATCTACTTTCTGTCCCTACGGTCCCTCAGGTAGATATGCATATCTCCCTCTGGAAAAACCCCGTATCCAAAACCTCCCAGTACATAACCCTTATTTATCCCATGGTTACAAGGATATAGATCGAATATCACGTGAAGATATAATTGATACGTGGATGAAGATATATTTTAGCAAACAATTCCCAAATCATCGAATATCACTTTTGAAACCATCGAATATCACTTTTTGAAAGGTGATATTCGATGGTTTCAAATTGATATTCGATGGTTTCAAAAGTGATATTCGATGGTTTTGATTTTTTCAATTTTTTTTATTAATTCAGCAAAACGATTGTTTATGAATACCTAGCAAGAGCTCAAAAAGTTCAATCATCTATTTATCTCAAAAAGACCTCAAAAATTGAGCTTGAATTAGAAATATGTCTTCTAAAATCTTCCTCGCCTGAACCTGATGGGATTCTACCATCACTTATTAAGTCTGTAAGACAGTTTTTAATTGATCCGCTCTTGTATATATTAAACTTATCTTTTAAATCTGGTATTTTCCCAGACGCCCTCAAATTGGCCAAAGTAACACCTGTATTTAAAAAAGGAGTCACTACAAATCCTTCGAACTATAGACCAATTTCAGTTTTATCGGTATTTTCTAAATTGTTAGAAAAGCTCATGCACGCCAAACTCACTGGTTTTTTAGAACGTTTTGAAATTATTTTTACTTATCAATTTGGATTTCAGAAATTCAACTCTACCTACATGGCCATTTTATATTTCATTGAACAAATTCGAAAATCAACTGATTTGGGGAAAACGAGCATTGGCATAACATTAGATTTTTCCAAGGCCTTTGACACTATTAATCATGACATTTTGATACAAAAACTTGAATATTATGGCATCAGAGGAATAGCTAAGTCCTGGTTTGAAAGTTATTTAAAAGACCGCAAACAATATGTCACCATTAACAATTATGAATCTAAACAATCATCTCTAAATTGTGGTGTTCCGCAGGGCTCGGTGCTTGGACCACTATTATTTATTCTTTACATAAATGATCTGCCTTTTGTTGACCCTAATCTAAAATTTATTATGTTTGCTGATGACACCAATCTTCTTGATAGTGATTATGATTTAAATGAACTAATGCAAACTTGAATTCAATAGATGACTGGATAAAAGCAAACAAACTTTCACTTAATATTGGCAAAAACCAATGCTATTCTATTTGGACCCCAAAAAAATCAAACAAATCTGAATCTCAAAATACGCAATGAGAACATAAATTTCCGGGATAAAATTGACTTTTTTGGAATTATTATTGATAAAAACTTGAAATTTAAAGAGCACATAAAATCTATTGAAACAAAGATTTCTCGCGTCATTGGTTCTCTTTATCACATTAAACATCTACTTCAAATAGACAGTTTCAAAACAATTTACTACTCATTGATACACTCTCAATTAAATTATTGCAACATAATCTGGGGTAACACATTTAAATCATTTTATGATCGTCTACATAAACTGCAGAAACAATTCTTAAGGCTAGCTTTAAATAAGGATAGACTTTCTCACTCCGCTCCCTTATTTGAAGATCTTAACATATTAAATATTTTTGATGTCAACAGATATTGTACTGGTCAGTTCATGTACAAAATCTTTAATAAGCACCCCAGTCTTCCAAAAAATCTATTTCAAGACTTGTTTGATATCAACATTAATATTCATCATCATTACACAAGACAATTGCATTATTTTCATATCCCTAAATGCTCTAAACTTTCCCTTCGCTATCTAGGTCCTAATCTTTGGAATGCTCTACCACATGATATTAAAAAATGCTCCACTCTAAATATTTTCAAATCTTCATATAAAAAACTACTCATCTATCGATAATGTATAATACCAATATCATACTATACTGTTGATTTTATACTGATACCTGATTTTTGTAACATTTTTACATTGTACATCCTTAGATTAATTGTTAATACCATTTTTATATACCTACATGTAACATAATATAAGTGTTTTCTTTTATATGTAGTCTAGATGTCATTTAAATGATTTCTGTTAGACCGCAACATATACCCACTAGG